TGTGTCAGCCGCTGATGGATCGCTTGGGTTTATGGCTCGAGGTAGATGCGGTACTTATGCAGCCGTAATCATTATGCCCAACTGACGGGGTAACTCAGTCCTCATCTGCGACGGACATTCAGGCTGCAATAGCTCCTCCTTAATATGGTCTTTATGGCTCTCCTTCTCAGTTGGAATCCGAATTGCCGACCCTTTCTCGTCATGTGAGACCTTGGTCTCCTTTGTGCGCGGATCACGGGTGTAGTGGCACGCCTGGTCGCAGGTTCACGCTGCGCCGGCGACCCGTGCCTGACGCCGCTTCCGGTCTCCTTGACTATGTCTTGAGATCAGGCTCAGGGGTGTGAGGAGAAAAGAGTGCGGTGGATGTACTACAGACCTACGATCGTTGCGAATTGCTTTATGCATAAATCACCGTCCCTGTGTCCATCTTGGCGTGGACATCGACGGAAGCGATTGCTGAACCGTAAGTCCCAACGTCCAAACTCATCTCACGTGGCTTAGACTTAAATGCAGCTGGGCAAGGAAAAATTTGGCAATCACGAATTTCGTCACGATTTCCTAGTTGTTTTCGTTTTGATGTCCTGTAAAGTATCACGGCGCGCTAAACGTTCCGTCTTTGAAGGTTTCGAGGTGCAGGTGGAAGACAAGAATGAGTTCCACAAATTGAAAGGCAGGGTTGGTTGAGCAATCCCTCTTTGCCAATTAATGAGGCCAAATGGATCTGAAAACGCAGACTCCTGAATCTACGACAATTGCCAGTATATTGATCGGATCGGTTCCGCAAGGACTACGAATCAGGTTGAATGGTCCCATCCAAATACGACCTTTGCAGCAACTAAAGATCGTTAAGGGGGCCCCGACAACGCAAACTAATGGGTCCACTAGTTTTAAAGGCGTGGATATAGAGGATGGATGACCAATGAATAATCAAGACTCATCCACCTTCAGTGGCCTTGGCGGCTGGAACATGACGCGTGTTTGAAGACGGAGTGATAGTGAGATGAATACTGCCTAAGATCCCCACGGTTACGGGGCAAATCACGCGTCACTTGGAACTGATTTTCTCGCACTTGACTTAGTTCTCACTAAGCAAACGAAGAGCCCGATTGCATTTCCTGGACAGCAAGATCGTCAATCGGATAATGAACCCCTGTCCTTAACTCCTTCCTTACAGTACCCCTCAGTCCGATCTAGAAACTGACTATAATACATGTCAATGGCATAGCATTTTCATTATGTATATGGTGTTGAATTGCGTAAACATAAGTCACATGGTAGTTAATATTCACTTTCCAAATCGGCGAGGTACAATATAAGCGCTGGCAAAGCGCAATGTGCAGCAGAATGTTACCAAAGCAGTCGCAGTGTCCCCCAGTCCAACCCCCTGTGGAGCACACGGTGAACACCGTGTAGGTTGCAATTCCTAAATTCATCTCACATGGGTTAGACTTGAATGTACCAATATCGCATCGCGGGAACGAAAGCCGACAGGTCCGCTCCGCCGATAATTCCTGATGAAAACTGCAGTGTACAACGTAGAGGATTTCATCGAATGATAACTTTTGCTGGTCTTAAATGCAAGGTAAAAGTGCGTGATAATTAAAATTTCCTATGAGCGTATCAATCCACTAGTAAAGGTCCATGTGCTGTATTGGGAGAAACCATGAAAACGCTGAGATGCAATCAAATGCAGTAGACAACTGCCGATGACTGTCATGCATTGTCACCGAGATCTTACTTTGTGCGCCTAACAAGCTATGTACAAATGGTACAGTTCTAATTTCCCTAGCAAAGTCGGGCGCAATTCCTTCTACCAATATTGATGATGCGGCAAGGTATGTCTAACTTCTGAGGACGGTGGGATTAAAGATTGACAACGCGCTTTAAGCCCCTGGGATCATCGAACAGCAGGCAAGCTTAGAGTTGGCATTTTGGCTATGCTCACCGTCAAGGTCATTAAGCCCTCAAACCCAACCAGTATTGCTGTGACAAGCTGTTGTAACCGCCACGAATGGATATTACGAACTACTGCGCCAAATTAAGTAGTAAGTTAGGCTATAATGGTTTATTGTGGGGGAGGGGGGGGGGGGGCTGGCAACAAGCCAACTTTACACATTTGCAATCTCGTCAATAAATTTCCATTAGAGAGTACTACCTGGCACACAGAATGTTTTCACAGACACCGAACTCACAGAGATAAAGGCAGCTTGTGTCTGCTGCTAAAATTTCCTACAGTTCACCTGATACGTGATTGGGTACTTCACAACTATTACAATATGCTGTCGAAACGGACGTATGCCACATTTTTTCCTTCAAACGGTTTGTTTTTAAGACAAAACGATCATACGGTAGGGATACCAATGCATACGTTCGCAAGTTCTGTTGTTAGAACGTTGGATACTGCATATTAGGTGACTTACATCCGTGAGGCAGCCAGCGTCATTAGGGATGGGTATGCTTCTCGCTTGCGGTTGTTTATTCAAAGTATCAGTTCATCCACGAATAATCACAAACATAGGCAGAAGCTGGTACCGTAAGAGGAGTAATAACGGTCGCCCAAAAAAACTTATCAAACTCCAATTACGACTAGTTCACATCAATAAACGAGTGGCAAATTAAAGAAATCAGTACCTACGACAAAGCCATTTAGAGGGCCTCGGTGAGCAAACCTGCACCAACCAGGATTGCTGTTTCAAGGACAAACTTCATGTGCCCCGGTCGGTACTCTGCCTGATGCTAACTGGAAAACCACTCGCATATAGATTCAAGACCTTCGGAGAGGAATAGGTGTAGCTCGGTTAGTGTCTGCTTTCGGCATTTAAGAGTACCCGTAAAAGAGGCCATGTGGTAGACGCGCTGGACCAACGCGTGGGCTAGACTAGGACAAGGCACCCCTTTTTCGGGGGGATACTCACAATAAATGTCAAACATGGGGGTCCGGTGGCGCGCCTAGGCACAGGCATGCGTCGCGTCAGCCAATTGAACCCAGCTCCCGCATCAGACCACTGACCGACTTGGACAGTAGGCCGGTACACGTGAGAGTGAGGTCGACTCTGGGCACTGCGTTCCCACGGCATGCAGCGCATATTTCTCACGATAAAAAATCGGGCGTGCACAAATCTGCAACGGCGCGTGGCTTGGGAGGCTGTCAACTGATAGGATGCCACTGATCACTTCTCAGTGTGACCTCCATTGCACCCCTACTCAGATGGAATCCGAGCTGTAGAAACCTGTTCCGCGCGGTTGCGGCACGCGTAGACCGGCCGTCCGATTTAGTCAACCAGTTCACTCAATCCTACCCTTGACCTTCTTGGACGGGTTCAGATGAGTGAGAAATGAGAGAGCGAGGTAGATGCGGCGCAAGTCCACTGCCACTGTAAACAGATTTAAACGCGACTCACCGCTGGGCAGGAGGGAAGGAACTGCCGAATTCCGCATAAGACATAAGTCCAGAACGGAGACTAATACCAAATTGTTGACTAAGTCAAATAAATCGTGCGGACCGACGGTGGCAATATCCCCTTGTTGTAGGCTCGTAACATTTTGAATGTCATGATCTGGTTGTCCACAGGCATTTGGACCTCAATAGAGGTGCAATGGTGACATTTTTTGGAACTTGAAGGCATGTGAGGTTTTAAATGTTCTCGCAGCTTCCGATAAGGTCATTGGAGATATATGTGGCTGGCATGATTCCCGCATGGCAGTGGACGTACCGCGGTGCAATGAATCATGAAGCGAACCCTGACAGACCAGAGTCGCGGCTTTTGTTTGATCTCTAAAAGTGTTCTTGTAATCAGCAATCCGATAGGTCATTAAAAATCGTAATTTCATGTAGTCATGGGCAGCTGTTTGATGGTAACACGACATACAGAGATGACCCACACGGTCACAAAATTCGTCGGTCCCGAACGCCCAGCTTCTTTAGGTGTCTGCACAGCTAAAAAGGGCAGTCTTTTATGCGTCGTGTGGTCTCCTAGGAAGGAGCAACAGCCACATGGCCCGTGCATGTCTACAAAATCTCGCAGTCGAATCATGCGCACCTACGTGCACAGAATTGCTTCGCGATACTACTGAATGCAGGTTTTGTCGATTTTTCGAAGGGGACTCCACATTCCCCTGGCATTAAATACAATGATGTTAAGCCCAAATACTCGCACGACACTGTTGACGAACTTGGGTAACCGCGTGTAGGCGACTCTATCATGTCGGTAATATCATTCTGTCTATCATGTCTGCTTAGCAATATTCGAACCGAGTCCAGGACGCAATTAACTACCCGTATGCGCACTAGAAATCACAGACGGAGCGCGAGGGACTCACTGAAGAGGAGAGCCTTGCGAATGAACCGCGCGATCGCAGTAAATTAGAGGATACAGTGCCTGTGATTTCTGACGGAAACCGCGTCTAGTGCGATCACTCTTATGTGGGAAGAAAATATCTAGTCGCCTCACCAACAGGTCTGCTTGTTAAACAGTTTTCTACCTAAATTTTGCACGTTGACATCTCGACGAAGTCGAGAGGCCCGCTCTGCCGATAATTCCTGACGAAAACTGCAATGCACAAAGTAGATGATTTCAGCGGAAGATCGCGCCGGTCCTAAACGGAAGGCCGAAATGTGTAGGTAGTTGCTTCGACATGCAGCAGACCCGTTGCGGCCTGAGAAACCGACAGTATCAACATTTTGCAAAGATGTGGTTTCCTCAAAGAGCCTCGAAAGTTCGGCAACGGCTGCAAAGCTGATTTTAGCACCACTGAGTTAATCATCCTCGCCTACTTCAACTTCTTCTGTACATCAGTAGGTCAGAGTGCCTCAATTATTTGCAGACATGCATTGGTTCGCTTGTCATACCAAAGTTAGAGAAAGAACTCATCAGTAGGAAAGGCATAGAATGGGATTTAATTGCAAAAAAGTCAGATGTCCAGTGCAAATATGACAAAGAGGCATTACAAATTTAATCCCTGATGTAAGGTGTTGATGAGTCTGATGAAGTCCGCATCTGTTAGATCCTTTCGGCAATTCCGATGCTGATCTTCGAACCGAGTTTTATTACATTTGTGAGGTACCGGTAAAAAGGAGCCTGCAATTGAGGAATGGACAGGGGTTATCGTGAATGACAGCTGTGGTGGTTTTGTTGAATAGAAGATGGACGTAAGATATTTTAAGTTTTACGAGAGAGATAATAGAGGGCCAGACTTTGGGATGCTTAACCCGGGCACAGGTTATAGATATTTCCACAAGTTCCAGTAATAATCACTAAAGTCGTGGACAGAAGTTACGAGACTTCTACGTCACAATGTACTCAGTGCCAGTCAAGTCGCGGTTTGTTCGTTTAAAGCGCAGGTGGCCACAGGACAATACGGATGTCTCGGAAGACGGAATGCAGTCATAAGCTAAAGCGGAATAAAAACGCGACAGCGCACAACACAGAAGATCAAGCCGCTTGCGAAATGCACGCGTGAAATCAACTAGCCAATCAGCGCGTACTGGGTCACCGAGTAGGCGAGAGGCCTTTGTTCAGGCGTGCGGCCCAATCCGTGACCGGCAAAAGATTCGCGATTTTTCCACGAGGAGTTCTCGCGCAAGAAACAGCCAATCCAAGAGTAGCACATTACAGACCAGGGTGTTCCAAAACCGTTAGGGCTTTGGCGCGCTGGACATCACGTTATCCAGCCTGGGCGGAATAAAGAGGCTGCTTATGGAACCTGCCTCCCTTCTCTTTCATCCACCTTAGCAACAAGATTGAAAAGACTTCGAAGTGAATTCTGAGCTTCCAACTTGTGGTGCACAACACATGCCAGTAGAGGAGGCTATGAGGACTGGTCGGCATGCAGTTCACAGTTCACTCTCGATCAGGAAATCAAATGGAGGAAATGATGTCAGCAATTAGGAGATACAAACGGAAGGAGGATCCGAGGATTACCCCTCCTCTCCCGCCTAGCCAGTGAGATACATAATAAAATTAAGAACCACCTCACGCAAAATTCCTTAATTATGCAGGAGAGGAAGTACAGACAATGTTAATGGAAACAGGAATGGCCATTTTCGCCTATTAGACGTCGTCAGCTAGGTTGGCGCAAAACAGGACTCGAACCCAGGTTCTTTGGTCATGCGTTAAGTAGTCCAACGCTCTACCACTGAGCCTCTGTCTTATTCGGTGGCGGTCGAGAGTGTAGTAGCCCATCCCCGGGACCATGTTGTAACGCCGAGCCTCTCACGACTACTTGTAAGTGCGCAGCAATTGCGCTCTGGTTTTCGGCAAATGCCGACTGTCCAATCATCTTCTAAGCTGGCTCAGACATGAGCTCTCTGAAGGCGCTGGACGATTGGCCCACTATCTCACACTCGCGGACGCCGCTCTCGCGTCGTCGGACGTGCCCTCATCCGACTGGCAACCCCTACCAACCTCTTTTCTAATTGTTCTGTACAGAACACAACACCCTCCCAACTTGAAGAACGAGACACGATCGTTGGGAGAAGAGCTTTATTAGCCTAACGTTTCGGATTCCTGCTCGAACGCATCATCAGAGACAACGGCAGATGCGGGTGATTCATGCACATGGGACCGCAGTATTTATAGGATGCAGTCGCTATGCTACCGCATACCTATGAACAATCACGGCTTCCCCCATCATCCGGGATCGTCACACTCCGTGTGGTAATTGTTTGATGGCCGACATTCGCGTCGTTAATTGCTGCAATTTCATCACGTGCGTTGGATGTTGGCGTGATGATTGCTCGACCATCTGACTCACCTATCCTGGCGTTGGGAAAAGTGCTTACTTGTGCGCTCCCGCGTGGCTAATTACTCCCCCTAGGCAAAGTCTCAGCACCGAGTATGGAAGGCGAAAGTCATTACACTTGTTATGGACTGAGACCAGTAAACCATGACTCAAGCAGCGCCCGGCTCACGCGGTTGCCACCTCTTCCGAGAATTTCGGCCTCGTCGAATGAGCCGCAACTTGAGAGCTGGCGTCATTTCTCCGCACCGCTGCAGCGTGTTCAGTCATTCTCGTTCGGAGCTGTCTTCCCGTTTTCCCGACGTAGTTGTTTTGTCCACAACTGCACCAGATCCGATAAACGACTCCAGACGTTTCTAGCCGTGGCAGCGGGTCTTTCGGTTTCATTACCAGACGCCTGATGGTTGCCTCCGGTCTGTGTCCAACTCCAGCCCCAAGTGGCGCGAGAAGGCGGCCGACAGCTTCCGAATCGTTCTTGACAAAAGGAAGCTCCCGCCAAGATTTGGTGTCCGTGCGGTTAGGCCTTTCGTCCCTTTTGCGTATGCACAGGTTGAAGAAGTTGCGCGGGTAGCCATTGGCTTTGAATACCCATCGGAGGTATTGTAGTTCGGCAATCTTGTTTTCCGGCTCACTGCAGTGCGTTTAGACACGCCGACTGGCGTCCCACTATCCCCTCTTCCTGTTCAGAACTGGACCTCATGGTCATAGTGGCAAGAGTCTAACAAAGCCCTAATCTGCCGCGATAGGAGTACTAACAATTTTTGCAGGGCGCCGGTTAATCCGGTCGCGGGTCATACTCGTGCCGTTGCGCCCTAGGGCTCAATATGTAGACTTCACTAGCAATTACGTAGAGGGCAGCGATATATGCAAGGTGGGATTACCGACAGAGACAAAGAGGGCGGCGGACTGGAATGGCCATTTCTGGCTTAGTAGCCTAATCAACTGCCAACAACTTCGATGAAATGCAGAGAACAGGTTTCATAAACCACATGAAAATGTGCAGCAACTGTCTGCAATACATTCTAAGGTCTGATGAATAAACCGTTGCCAACTGCAATAGTGATGCCGATATGCTTGGTTGGCACCTTAACTTTCAAAGGCTACACGCCAGACGAAACAACATGAGGACTGCTGGCTGTCATCAAGGAAGGCGTCGACTAGGGAATAGGACCCAACCGAATAGTCAGGCGGGATGGAGAATTTCATCAGCACCACATTCCGCCAAGTAGCCGAAAGTGATTCGTGCTGGCGCATCTTTAAGAGCCGATGTGATTAGTGCTTGGCGATGAGTGGTACTCCATATAGGTTAACTGAAATTCCTCGTAAGGAAGGAGACATCTGCCCTGCCTGTTGAGACCTGAGCAGCGTCAAAAGAGGGCGGACAATCACGGACGATGCGTCCCCCGTGGGCAACAGACATTATCAGTCTGTGGAACGTCCGTTCGAGACGCAGGAGAGAGAACAGTCAGAATCCAACGATAACCAGTTTTAGTACGGTGCTCTGCGTGAGACATGGTATGATATGCATGGTACACCAAAAGCTGAATGAGGCGTTTGTGGAATGAGAGCCTACCCGCGTCTCCACACAGCTAAAGGGCACTATTATATATACAAGGGCAGTTTCTGTGTCCCGACCATTATTACAAACTACGATGAGTAGAAAAATGTTAAGGGTGACCCCGCTGAGGTTCTATCCTCAAGCCCTCCTACCAACAATAAGACGGGAGAAGAACATCAAAACGGGTGGACCGGCAAAGGCCAGATGGCAATGTTGGTGATGATGGCGGTCGATGTTTCAGTTTTGCAGAAGACAATAGGCCAACTTCACTCTCAATGATTACTTAATGCCAGACACAGTGACCGGCAGGGCCTATAGGTCGTGAGAGCACGAATGCACCTACCTCCCGGGGTAGTGTGGAGAACCGGTGTGTCTGAGAGATCAGGCTGGGATGCACAGAAACACTCGGCAATTGTTAACAGATGGCAACTGACCGTATTCAAGAACGCCACTACTGAGACCTCGCCAGTGGGGCATCCTTGGCATCCGGTGGGAGAGAATGCTGAGGCCAACCAGACGACCAATGTGAACAAAGATCTTGTAGTTATCCGGTCGACTGAGTCGTAACCATGGCACAAAGGGCACCTCGTTTAATTGCTTAACTGGAAGTCTCAAACAGCGCTTGGTGAGACAATCGTCACAGTCAGTCCGCCAACATAAGCCGTCGATATCTGAGCCGTGGTTCTACGCTTCGGAAACAACAAAGCCCCGGCTGAAGTCGGGCCGGTGGATAAACCGCACAGGAATTCCCTGTCATTACGATGCCTGGAGGAAGAAAAGTGCTGCATGTTCTATCTTCTCAGCTATGACATCCACAGAACGAGAGGACGGGGACGTATAAGACCACAATCAAGAGGTGGTGGATCTGCTCTGCTTACTTGCAAAAACTAGAGAATTTCGGCAACCGTTATCTCCAGAAGATACCGTGGAATCGGTTGAGGAACCAGATCTATGACGTGAAATTTTGCAGGCTTGTAGCAATAAAAGAGCGCCTGGAAGACGAGTTGCCCGTTGGCCCAGCTGCTAGCTACCCGGCGCGTCCACAGGTGGCGGATAGTGGGACGGTTAGTTGATAAATAAGCAGACCCAGTCTGATGAATGCGTAGTCGCGGACTAACAGTGGCAGTCCTACCAGAGTACGGAGTGCGCTGAAAGCCTTAAAAGAAAGCCGTAAAGCCCGACGACGGCATTGCGACAAGGCGACCGCTGCCTTGTGATTAGGCTTTTAAGTCAAAGCGCTATAGGAGACAACCTCGAACAAACAATCCGAGCGACTGTTGAGGACCCGCCTGTATCGCAAATTCCCAAGAAACCCCATAAAACATGTCCGATCACAGTATTACGACTCATGCTACGGCGTCCACTGGAACCGACGCGTTCAGCAGCCCTGATTCAGTGGTGTGGCGAATAGTATGCGAGCTGGCCTATTAAATCAGGGGCGGAATCTTGATATTAAATGCTAGGACGTGCGAACGTTACCGGACCCCGGTACCCAGTCTGACCGCGCGCAGCCTTAATCAGTACAACGTGCATGTCTGCTGCCCGTTTGATGTTCGACTTCCTGACTCAAGCTCTCGTAAAAAGGAAGATCCCTGGAGCCGAATTACACTTTTCCCTGTACCACAGAGGTCCGCGGTAGATACGGTGTGGTAATCGCCCTCTCGCAACAATCGGATCTCGCGTTACTAGCTTGGGTGTCAGTCAATGACCGGATGGCCTACGTGCGACTGAAAGGTCACCTAACAAACATCTCCATCGTCTCTGTGTACTCACCAACTTCAGCTGCCAAACAGAGCGATAAGGAGGCGTTTTACTTGCAGTTGCAAGCGTCGGTTGAAAGACTATCTTGCCGCGATCTGCTGATTGTCGCCGGGGATCGGAATGGTTTAATAGGACCTGACGACTGCACAATCATCTTCTTGGTCGCTTTGGGCTTGGTTCCCGATGTGAAAATTGCAAGAGATTGCTGAACTTTGTTGACCATATCCGACTACTTGTCAGCAACACGTTTTCAGCATCGCAAAAAACATCTTCTGACCTGGTATTCAAACAACGGTCATACGACCAGTCATATAGACCACATACTCGTCAGCTGAAGGTTCCGCAGCCGGATTTACGATAGCAGATCGATGCGTGATGCCCAGATTGGCAAAGCCTACGGCTCCGGACATGTACTTGTTCGTATACGCTTGAAGGTTCACCTCTTATACGCGCCGAAAATATCACATCCTAGACGCCACGATGTCGCAAAAAACCGGCAAACCAGCACTGTCGGGGCCGCGAGCATAGAAATCTGGTCCTGTTTTACGACCCCAGAAGACGGAGATGGCAGTGGTCGTAAATGAAAACGTTAGTCTATGAGGCAGCTGATAAAATCCGTGGATATACCCAACGACACCACAGTGACTAAATCAGCGGAAGAGGCCTGCAGTTGTCTGCTTAGATGGCTTGGGCCAGGTCTCGTAGTTATGATTCTTTCCGCTAACTTCGAAAGATGACGACAAATTCCGCCAGGGATAACCGGAAGCAATATTCGGCTGAAATAGCGACTTCCATCGAACAGGCCTTGAAAACTCTATCAACATATCCGCCAAGTTGGTGGTGAGCCCTCTACACTGAATGACTCTGTTGACGTGAATGACGGCTTCATTGCTGACAACTCGCCAAAGTCGAGCGCTGGTATGAGCACTTCGAGCACCATCTCGGCTTCGATACCCAACCCACCTCGCCTTTGCTCTCCACTGAAGCAGAGTTTCTCCCCTTTCCAACCTATGCAATGATATGCTACCCACCTTCAGAAGAAGTCGCCGATGCCACACGAAAACTGCGCAACAACAAGGCACCCGGAGAGGACGGTATACCCGCCGAAATCTGCAAGTCTCGTGTCAACACTCTGGCGCCCTGGCCCCATGAGGTGATTGAACAAGCGAGGAGAAACGCGGTTGCTCCTGATGAATGGGGCTTAGGCATCCTTGCACCTATCCTCAAGAAGGGAGATAAGACAAGATGCGAGATATACCGAGGCATAAGCTTCATCGACGTTGGTGCGAAGATCATAGCTATTGTCCTACTCAGGCGATTCCAGGCTGTTCGTGACTCTAGGACGAGGCCCAAACAAACCGGATTTCGTACTGGACGTGGATGCGCGGACCAGCTATTCACACTAAAGCGCATTCTCGAATTTCGCCATGGCTACCAGCAACCGACGGCTGCCTGCTTTGCTGACTTCGCCACTGCATTCGATCTCGTCCATCGTGAGTCCCTATGGCGGATAATGGCACTAGATGGTACGCCGCCAAAAATCACTGTCATGACCAAGGCCTATTATCGATCCACCACCACGCGAGTCGTGATCCGCAACAATCTTTCCCAACTGTCTGGTATTCGGTCTGGTGTTCCACAGGGTTGTATTTTGTCGCCCATTCTTTTCAACTACGCTATTAACTGGATTCTCAGGAGGGCCCTACACGAAGGCGACGGTGCTGGATTTGCACTCGGGCACCAGGTGACTGATCTCGACTACGCCAATGATATTGGCTTACTTGCTTTGGGTTTTGGCGATCTGCAGTCTATGGTATCACGGGTGAACGGGGTCGCTATATCAGTCGGTTTATCCATAAACGCTGCGAAGATTGAAGTGTTTTCAAGATGCATCCCTAACCAGGAGAAGGCACCTCTCTGGATTAATGGCTGTCAACATAAAGAATAAGAGAGCTTCAAATACCTCGGGGCGAGGTTACTGCCAAATGGGCAGAGTGAGGACGGCATTATGCCCCGAATTGATGCCACCCGACGGCTTTTTTCGAGCCTTAGAAAACGCCTATGGATCCGACGCGACCTCTCCATCGCCACTAAGATTCGCGTGTACCGTGCATCTGTCCGGTCTGTCGTTCACTATGGTTGTGAATGCTGGGCTGTGCGCGTGGAGAACGATCGAAAACTGGAGGTAGTTGACCACCACTGCTTGAGGAACATCCTTCGGGTGAACTACGCGACTTTGTCTTAAATGATACAGTCTGCGCTCGCAGCGACATCGCAAGGATAACCCAGACCATCAAAGAAAGGTGACTGAGGTGGTTTTGGTATGTACTTCGTCATCCACTTCATGAGGTCAGTGTTACTGCGCTCGATCCGGCGCCGTTACCCCATTTAAGGCGTCGACGAGGGAGTCAACTCAAAACCTGGCTCGACACAGTTCGTCAAGACATGGAGGTGGTTCTTGAATCTTCGGTATTCGGTCACTGTCCTTGGCAGAGAGAATTAGTTGAACTGTCAACAGCTGCTATCACGGATCGTCACGCGTGGAGAGGTAGAGTTCAGGACATCATCGAGGCCAGCTAGATCAGACATGATTGCAGCCGTACCAGGCACAAGTTTTAAGTGGTCTGATAACGGACTTATCCGCGACATCTGCCCTCCAGAACCCTCTCAGAATTGGAGCCACAGTGGTCGTGGTAACTTGAAAGATCGAAAAACGTTGCAAATGGCACTCCGCCAGAATCCTCGGCATTGTGGATTAGCATGTCACTTTGACCATGACCTCTGAAGGTATAGATGTGGACAGCTCTCATCTATGACGATGTGGATATCGGGGCAGGATTAACCACTAGAAGAGGCTGTGTATGCGCGAGTGCTGGCGAAGTAGCCGCCGCAAGCATAAAACAGGTAGTTAACCAAATAACTCTGATGGGACCACGACGGGTATTTAATAAAAAGTTATTATTATCTAGATCAAGGAGTTGTGCTAGTGGGTAATAGTAAGAAGAAAAATTATCGAAGTATTTCCTCACCATTTCTGCGTCATTCGCAAGGCCGGTATCATGATGTTCCATCTCTTCATCGCGAAACTGCTTGAGTATCTACAGATCAGGTTGATAATGCAGAGTAAGATGGAAGAAACATAATAACCATGGGAAGAAACGAGAAACTTAGACACGAAACGGGGATCTCAATACCTCCAGGAGTTCAGTGTGCGCCTTTGGATCTTCCTGGAGGAGTTCCCGAATCTGGTTATTGTAGTGGTCTCCCACAACTGATTCGACGGCTACCGTACACGCCATCGCAGACTTCTCACCAAGTAAACCGGTAGCGACGCCAAGACCATATGCCGCAATACGAAAAAGTGGCAGAAGTGCCGTCGGACGAACGCGGTTCTTCGGGATGAGCTCTTCGAAGGTTTTGAGGTGGCGCTTTTCTCCATCCAGCATTTGCTAAAATGTCGAAACACGGTTATTTGAGGTGGCCCTGTTGGGGAAAAATTGCGGCGTTACTGAAATGTCGTCTAGAAACTTCCAAATGAATAACACACTAAACACAATCCGGCAGCCCTTGGCAATTATTTGTCAGAATCGCAATTTCTCGGCGTCTTAGAACGTGGTCCAGTGGCAGGCCTGAGGTAAAACGTGGAATAAAACACTTAAAAGACAACCAAGAGGTCTGTCAAAGGACAAAACATCGAGAATAGACGCCATTATCAACGCTTGGGAGGTCCGATAGCGAAATAAATCCTTCCCATCACCACAATAAATAGGATCGTCCGAGGCGTTTCGTGGGCTAAGGGAACACTGTGCGAAGTGTCGCCCTTTGTTACTGTGGGGCTGGACCAAAGAAATATTGACGGCGGGATCCGAAATTTTGTCTTGCGAAACCCTTGCATTCAATTCAGATGATAAGAATTAATACCGGTAGACGAAAATGGACAGCCGGCGATGAGGCTATTTACCAAGACATTACGCGCTGCGTCGTGGCACAACGGGCATAGATTATCCTATAGGCCATGAAATTAGAACTTGTAGATCTAAGCAATAATAGCAGCTCTAGTTTGCCACACGCATTAATTGATTCTATAACGTCGACGTTACCTGGATTATTGGGGCTGACTTCGTGTTTTTTAAGACAGCTAGCTGTCCTTCATAAATGTACTTTGCTCCGAGCTCACCAGCATGGTCAACCCTGATTAACCGATCCAAAAGAGCCTTTGTCCTCGAAGAGATTGGTCGCGTCATTAACGCGCAATTTCACACGCTTGAGTTGGACTGTCAACAAGCTAAACGGGAAACCATAAAACCAATAAGCATACTTCCTCAACCGAACACTAAATTCGGACGAGAGACTAATTTAGTAATCGGATTACTTAAGCCGAAAAGATAAGAAGCCTCTGGCCTGGCCAATGCTTCAATTCTTTTCAACGATTACTGAATAAGGTCCTAGAACAGTTAATTCCTATCTCATGCTTTGTTTTTATGCACGACATCACTGTTCGCGGAAATGATTTTGACAGATATCTTAAGAATATCATATCTGGGTTTAACAAGCTGGCTTGACCCTGAACCCATCTAAAGGTATTTTCACAAAGTCGCATGTCAGGTTGCTAGAGCATGTGGTCTCTGACGCGCGAATAGAAACTTATGACGAAAAGTTCGGGAAAATCCCTGAGGGCCACACCCGCAAGGCCGTGACCGAGGTCCGCAGATTTAAGGCCTCGCCTCCTACTACAGGCGTCTCACCAAAGACTATGCTTGCGTTACTGGCCCCCTTTACAAGTAAACTATGAAAAACTTTAATTTTGGGTGGGTTTCTAACTATGTAAATAGTTTTCGGACGCTGGGAGGTAAAGTATGTTCTACACCCATTTTAGATTTTTCCGACACTAGTTATGATTCTGGTAAGTTCGTTCTGTGTACCGATGCTAGCAACACCGCAGTGGGCGCAGTCGTCTCTCATTAGCAATCGAATGGTACTGAGCGCGTTATTCAGTATTTAAGTCCGTCATTGACGAAGGCACAACGACGCTATTGTGTGACTCGAAAAGAGATGCTGGCGTTTACGCACTTTGTGGAAGGACATCCGCCAGGCTTCCAACACCGACCCTTTGTCATACACATTGACCATAATTCACTGACACGATTGCGAATGTCCAAAAACCCAGAAGCATAGATCGTTAGAGGGCATGAAAATTTGGCGGAATACGACTTTGAATGCGTGTGCCGACCCGGACGTCAACATGGAAGGGCCAACGTTTTCTCAAGGAAACCTCATCGCCCTTATGGGACGTGATTGTTCAACACGGACGCCACCATCCCCTCTGTCGCTTTACAAAGTGACTAGCGTCCACTCTGGACTGCGGCCCAACGAGATAATCCTCCTATTTTTACCATTTACAACAGAAAAATTTGTAATTTCAGGACTCTCAGCAGTCCTGAACTGTCAGGATATAGTTAAGAATAGAGAGAGAGAGAGAGAGAAGAATGTGCTTTATTTTGAAATCATATGTTTAAAATTTTCAGCAAAAAGTTGGCTCCATTCACAATGGGCAGTAAATAAGTTAATAGATTTTTCAAGAGTCAAATTTTAACACAAAGAAACGATTATTATGGGGATAGTTCCAGTTTTAGCTTCTGTATTTCTGTCTCTTCGCACGTAAGATAGCGCGCTAGGAATGGCAATACAGAAGCTCGATAAGCCGATGTGCGACAGGATATAAGACGGAAGTTGCGGCGCATCGGGCGGGAAGACTTGGCAGACATAAGATCGGAATGTAGGGGATGGGCAACGTCATCTAGAATTCGACCAGCAAATTGCTTGACCGCATTGAAGTGTCGTTGTAAAATTGTGTCAACTAAAAAAATGGAAGAAACGCTAGCAGCAGAAGAGAGCATGCGGAGAATTCGTTTCAAAATAAAAAGATCCTTTTTTAACAAAGCAGGAAAAACGACAGGAGAACAGTATAGAATAAGAGGAAGAATGCAGGCATCAATGGATCGCCAGACTAAGGGTTGAGGTGTGTGGTAGGAACGTAAACGACAAATGTAGTAAAGAAGTTTACGAACTTTAATAAATAGGGACTCAATATGGAGGGAAAAAGAAAGATTTGAGGACAAAGTAACGCAGAGATACCTGAAAGAGGACACTTCGTTAGGAAGAATGTCAGAGGACTCAGGGTTACGAGAGGGCCGCAGTCGAAAAATACACTGAACGGATTTTTGGTTGTTAACTAGGAGACCATTTTCCTCCGACCACGCTAGGACATGGTTTAAGCCATCCTTTAAAGACCGGAGTTGTGTCTGACTTTTGAGAGGGTGTCCAACAACCACATCGTCAGCATACATGACCAGAAGACAGTCATTAGGGGACCTGAGATCATCAGTGTGGAGGGAGAAAAGGTGAGGGGATAGAATAGAACCTTGAAGAACACCGCAGTCGTTGGGAAGGGTCGAAGATTTCCGCTTGCCAGATTGGACAAATTGGGCGCGGAAGGTAAAATAATCGCTCAGCCAAGAGACGACCCAGCCTGGAGAGCCACATGCGGAGGTTTTGGAAAGGAGAAGAGTGCGCGGGACGGTATTGAAGGCGGAGGAGTAATCAAGAAAAGCGCACGCATACTCGCGGCAACCCTTGTCTAATGCTTTTAGAGCAGAGTGGACCACAATAGCGACAGCATCTAAAGTACTCCGTTTAGCTTTGTATGCAAATTGTAAGGGGTCAGAAAAACTGGAAGAAAAAGGCTTTATGATATCTGGGGCAACTCTTTCAGCAAGCTTTAGTATTGCAGAGGAGCACGCAATTGGGCGAAAAGATGTAGGACCAAAGTTAGCAGTCCTTTAAGGGATGGGAGTGATTCTCACTGTACGCCAGGCATCGGGAATCTTGGACTCCATGAAAGACATATTGATTAGGTGCGTTAAAATAGGGGCTATCTGAGAACTGCAAGATTTAAGAAGAAAAGGCGAGACACCATCCGGTTCGGCAGCTGTTGATCCACGGACCTTTTTAAGGTGTTTCTCTACTGTTGCCAAAGACACGGGTTGGAATGCACTCGGTGATAGGGGAATGTCTTCTAAGGGAAGATGGGAGTCATTGTGACTTAATATAAAATTTTTATTTAGGGAGTCTAAATCTGCATCCACATGCACCAGCGTGTTGCGATGGCCAGTGAGACGCTTAAGATTTTTCCAAATCTCAGCTGAGGAAGGGGGGAAAGGGGGGGGGGGAGGAAGAAGAGGAGAATAGTTGGCTGACAAACAGGCTATTTAGCCTGTCAATCTTTGTTTTTATTAAGACAGTAACGTCCTTAGGGTTATCACGTAAGCCTAGCTTGTAAAGGAGTTCTTTTTTACGTCTTAACGATTTCAGATAGGGGGAAGAAATTCTATCCGGTCGTACCATAACAGTATCAAAAGGGCAGCAAATATCGAAAATTTCATTTAAAAACGCTGTCAGGTTGGAAGAACAGGATTCAACATTAGAATGTTCAAGGAGAGTGGGGATAGTAAGAGAAATGCAAGTCTGAAGCATGAGAATGTTTTGGACGGACGTGTTGCGAACCTTAACCTTTCTCTCAGGCTTGGCAAGCAGTGCACGTTTTGAAGTGGAATAGATTTTTGGAAGGCACAATAAAGTGGAATGGTCAGAACCGGACAATGGAGCCCTGTTTTTTACGCAAAAAAGCTTGCTATGGTTAGTCAGAATATGATCAAGAGGGGCATCTGCGCGAGTATTAAAGGAGACAAGATCATCGAAGCCCAAATGTGTAAGGGGACGTAAATTCACGCGATTAAAATCACCGCATAAGAGAGTAAGATAGTCGCAGGATAATATAGCAAGTTTTTGAGAGAAAGTCGAAAAAACGGGTTAATGCGCCTTCACAGGAAGAGGGGGGAATGTAAATACTAACAAATATGATGCCTTTAAAATTACTTAACAAACGGGGCTTACATAAAACAGCGATTACATCTATTAAATCATCAGAGTAAGAAAAAAGGGACTTACAGTCTCTACACCAATTTTGATTAACGAAAATGGCAACGCCTCCACCTCTGCCACAAGATAAAGATTTTCGATCTGTTCGAAAGCAGTAGAAGGATGGGGGAGTAATAAGTTGAGAATCAATGTCACTATTAAGCCACGTCTCTTGAAGGCAAACAACCTCAATTTTGCTGTGTTCTTTTTTCGACAAAAGTACCTCCAAATCATGGGTTTTGTTGAAAATAGAACGACAGTTTGTCGATAAGAGGGCAGGAATTGACAATTTGTGATTCGGCTGACGTTTGAATGCGAATTGCCAGCCACAACGGTGTTTTCTCCGATGCATAGGCCGTTATTGACGAATATTTAATAAAGTCAACACAGAACGATCACAAATACGACATATTGGTCGTAAAGTACAACAGTCTGCATCATGGTCGTTCGTAAGTGAAATTGACAATTTAATTCCGTTCAAAAGGGTGCCAACGTACTGTAGAGACGACCTCATAATCTTAGCTCAGACAAACAAAGGATGCAAAACAGTTCAATATATCAAGAGAAAAGGCACAATAATGTACAATTGGTAAAAATCCACACGTGAATGGAGAGCTACAAAAATGGCGGCTCAACTTCAAAAAACGCTGTATCTACACAAATTTTAAGATTAATAGGGTATTGAGAACGGTATTCTTCTCTAACTCGACAAAGAACAATATCCGAAACGAGTGGTCCTAACGCTTTAGATAGTGGATGACGCCGCAGAAAGAATGCATGCAACCTTAGGACACTCATGGGTCTGCAATTGCGTGGGCTCTACGTTTGTGCTATTATTTGCCAAATCAGAAGAGCGAAGTTCAGAACATTGTCCGGTCGTGTGACTATTGTCTAGGCTTAAAGTCTCCTAGTCACTCTAAAAGAGTTCAATTCTCTACTATTAAGGCTGTTGTCGTAATTTATTTTGGTATAAATAAAGCCTTTGATAAAGTGCCACATAAAAGACTCTTAGTTAAATTAGGTGCTCTGGGATTTTTGTTAAGCCATAACTGTCTAATCGTCAACAGAGGGTTTTAGTGGGATCATCACTTTTTATTTAAAGCGTTGTTGTACGTGGTGTCCTACAAGGTACTGTTTTAGGTCCTCTTTTCTTCCTGGCTTACATAAATGATATCTCGTCGGCAGTTAAAAATTCCCAATGATTTATTTATGCCGATGGTTTCAAATGTATATATTCACACAAGTAATCCACGACCCTGCGTTGTTT